CCTTTCTGTTCTTCATTAATGATGTCAGAGTTAAAACAGTGTTGATATATTTTTTGTGTAATGCATGAGGTTAATATTTTATAGATTGTCGGTAAACATGTGATAGGTCTGTATTTTGATGGATTTTTTGTGTCGTTATCTTTAGGTTTTAAGTATGTTACACCATGACATAAGAATGTTGGAAAAGATGATGGGTCAAGAAGGAACTGATTTAAGTGATGTAGTAAATGAATATGTACACAATTTAATTTTTTTATCCAAAAATTATGGATTTTGTCTGGTCCTGGTGATTTCCAGTTGTGTGTCTTATTGATGGTATTTATTAATTCCGCAAGTGTTATCTGATGATCATTCATTGGTGTAACTGTGGATAGTTTATTATATATATGAGGAATCCATTTGGCAGATTGGTTAAATTCAAATTCTTGAGACCAAAGTTTTGACCAAAATGTTGTTACATCTTGTGAACTTGGTAGTTCACCGGATAATTGAGTTTTGCTTGAATTAGTTAAATGTTGATAGAATAGTTTTTCGTTGTTTAAAAATTTAGTGTTATGAATTTTTCTGAGATGTGATTGTTTGTATCTTTTAAGTCTTTTGCTATATAAGGAAAGCTTTTGTAATAGTGTATCTTTAATTTCGGATAGTGTTGTGTTGTACTCATCGTAATCAGTTTGATGAAAATTATTGTTGGTCAGTATCGAATGCATACATGTCATGATGTGTGGTGTTTTAACTCCTCTAAGGTACTGTGTTATTTGACCCAGTTGTTTTCTAATGTTATTAATTTTATAATTTAACCGTGTTTCCCAATGAGGGGTGGAGGGTATGCGATTGTTGTTTGTATTGATTATGTTATCTTTACATGTGTTAATTTGAATACAAGTTAAAGCTGCACAGTAGATAATTGTATGAAGTTTTTCAAAAGAGATCGAGTTTGTGAGATATTTTGGTAAAATGAAGGAGTTCATTATTTCTACAATTGCCAGAAACTTTTTAGAATAACACTGGCGGGGAAGTGATTGTCTATCATTTGGTTTTAATTTAGAACATGTTTCGAAAGTTAATTTAAATTGGTCTTCAATTTCATTTTGGAAATTAATGTGAAATTTAAAATTTTTGTTGACAGTTTTGATTAATGTGTCTTCTGTGTTGTAGTACGTGTTTTGTAGATTATCTGTGGTGTTAATTTGGTTTTGGATTGTTCTTGATGAATTGTTAAGTGATTTGTCAGTTAATGTGTTGGTAATTTGTGTTACGGTTGTGATCTTATTTTGAGGTGTTTTGTTTAATAAATCTTTAGTAAATCTGTCAGTTCGTGTCTCTGGTGTATTTAATATACTACTATTACTATTTTGTGGTATAATTGGGATCTTATTTTGAGATGTTGTTTTTGACAAATTGGTGACAGATGTGTCAGTCAGTAATGTATTTGGTACTGTGTTCTTGATATCTTCAGGAAGTGGATTAATGGTTTTAGAAAGTTCATTTTTTAATTGTTCTAGAGTAAGTTGAGGTATGTAGTTATTTTTAACTATAGCTCTACGTTGATCTGCTAAATTTTGAATGGTAACTGGAAAATTTGGGTACTCACGGCTGAAGGCTTCGTGTAGAGCTGTACGATAATTACTTACATCAGTTTCATTGTTTGTAATTTTATAATATAAGCGCATAATATGTAAATTCATGTCTAGAGACCATTTTTTACGCTTTTTCGGTTCTTCTCGTCTTCTAATGGTCTGAGGCTGATTTGTCTGAGAAACATTAGAGACTAATACGTTGTTAATTGTCCTTGTGGTAGTGTTTCCCGAGGTGATGCCACTTGCTCCATCGACCTCTTCGGAGACTGCAGTAATAGGTGTTCGTCGGATTTCGAGTTGAAAATTATTAATAGCTATTAATAATTTTTATTATTTTATTATTATTATTAAGGAATCCATCGGGCAGATGCTATGCCTGTTATGCCCGCAACAAATTGAGTAGTGGGTTTATCTTCAGTATAACTTAGAGATTTTTTGTCGCACAATATGTATCATATTTCGATATAAAACTTACAATAGATGAAGCTAGCACTATATCCTTGTGTAACGCGTTCCAACTGTCAAACACCCTATTCGTTAAAAATTTTTGGCGAGCTAAAGTGCAAAATTTCAACTTACGCAACTTTAGAGGATGCCCTCTGGTGCGGCCTGAGGTATTGAGAGGGAAGAGATGCCTCATTGCGGAAAGGGGGTAAGACTATTAGTCAAGTCCTGATAAGTAATGATTAGATCCCCTCGTTTGCGCCTGTCTGAAAGAGGGCAGAGATGCATTAGTCTAAGCCGTTCGCAGTAAGGAGGCCGATTTATGCCGACACCATTAGCAAACTCTAGCAAAGGCCACATATATGTTTTGAAAAGTTTAGAAAAGACTAATGGACTAGCTTTGGAAAATGTTTTACTCAGAAGAGCATTTTATTTGCTTTGCTCGCAACTCGCTGGACGTGCTCAGTCCATGACAAATTGTAGGTGACAACAACACCCAAATCAACGTGCGAATCTGTACATGAAAAAAGTAAGTTGTCAACGAAATAAACGTGTTTGGGGTTATTATTCCCAAGGTGTAGGACTATACACTTGTCTAAATTCAGAGGTAACAACCAATCATGAGTCCAGTCATATATTGCTCGAAGATCTCGTTCTAAATCCCTATAATTCGCACTACTGCTGTAAAGCTTGATGTCATCTGCGATATCGGCAGTCTAAGCGACAAAGAGTAGCGGGCCAAGCACCGAGCCCTGGGGCACCCCACTCACAAAATCGACAGATCTACTAAGGCCATCACCGACTTTGACTCGAAATGTTCTATCGCTCAGGAAAGAATCTATCCACCCAAGGTTTCCTCGTATACCAAGATTTTGTAATTTGTGAAGAAGCGTGCGTTTCGGAACCTTGTCAAAAGCTTTTGAAAAATCGAGATATAAAATATCGACGGGGCGACCCAGGTCGATATCCCTAGTCCAGTCCGACAAACAGCACAAAAGATTAGATTGGACAGATTTCCCAGGTAAGAAGCAATGCTGTTCAGGTGGAATTAGATTATAATTTATAAAAAACTTGACTAAATGGGTATAGATAATGGAGACTAAATGGTCATAGATAATGGATTCCATGACCTTGACCACGAGCGATGTCAAACTCACTGGCCTGTCAAACTTATCACTTGTTCTTGTAAATTGGTTTGACAAACGCGGTTTTCCAGTCGGAGGGAAGTCTAGATTGCATGAATGATTGCGCCATTAGAATAGAAAGCGGAGTGGAAAGAGAGGCTGCACAGTTCTTTAAAACGCAGGAGGAAATAAGATCAGGACCTGGAGATTTAGTAACTTTCAACTTTCTGAGCTTATCTGACACCGAGTCCGCAGAGAATTTTATATCAGTGATACTATTCGAATTACAAACGCTAGATAAATTAGGCATCCCAGAAAGAGGTTCCACAGTAAACACTTTGGCAAAGGAATCGGCAAATATATCAGCAACGGTGTAACTGTTATCATTAATCATTTCTAAAGTGAGTAAAACGACTGGAGCTATTTTATCTGAAAAGTGAACCAAGTCGAAAGTAACATGAAAAATGTTATAATGACTTCCAACACTGCCACCAAATTAATAATTGTGCAGAAATAGTTCATCAAAATGTTCTTGTGGCGTATTTTTAACACCTTGTAAGTTTATTAATATTGCAGTTAATGGGGAAATAATTCCTATTATGGAAAGTAGAGTTAGTAAGTAGTTTGTTTTTGTATATTGCTATTAAATACTTATAATTTTGATAACAAAGCTTTATCAATTAATTTCTTTTCTTGTATTGTAAAAATATTACAATAACAATTTGTCATCTTATATTACAAATAAAGTTATAAGGTGCATTACAAATCAACTTTTGTGAATGTTAAGGACCTTTTCACATCCTGGAACCGATAAAAAATTTTACCGGGCTGTCACATTTTTTAACGATTTAACAATATTCATCATTACCATGATAACATCATAATATGTAGGTATTTAAAACCGACAAGACTCTTCGCTTCTTCTGCTACTTGCTTTATTTCACCGGACAGATCCATTTTCCGGTAATTCGAACAAAAACACAACCAACAGCATTAAAACGTTTTTTTGTACGTCACAAATTTTTACATTGTCATGCTAACATTCGTCAGACATTTTCAACTGCTATTGCAATTGAACAGATTAAGGTGCATTACTCCAAAAAATGCAAGAATTTTGATGAAATTTAGTGTACCATTAATGGAATTCAGTGTACCATAAAACATTGTACAAAGTTCGCCCGTTATTGAACTTTAGATATTGTGCTCGCAAGTAAAGTTCTATATAACCAGTTTACATCGTAAATAAATTATTAACGGCCGTGAATGTTATAGCTGACTTCACGGTATAGAAAATAGTAATCGTATGCCTATTTAACCGTTAGGTATTATGAAAAATACGATTTAATTTACTTCTACAGCATAAACTGTGATACCGAAAATTTGTAAACGCCAATGTTTTAGATTTAAGGGCGAGGCTTTACTTGTATGGACACAATGTGTTGTTAATCAACACATACAAACATTTTTGAATAGCATTTGAAGATATTTATTTGTCAAAGAATGAATGTGTAGCTACGATTTTCCAACTTCATTTATCAAATAGAGGCCGAGAGAAAGAGAGAGAACAACAAACTTAAATCTTGCTCATCGCTAGAGATTCAAATAAATATCTTGCTCATCTCTAGAGATTCAAATAAATATCTTTCTTTTAAATTCAACATGTTTTGGCACACATACCTAATTTTAGTAATGGAAACTCTGAATAGTAAACCTTTGATCTCTCCATTTTCTCGTCTGCCATGATTGTCAGACTCTACGTTTGTAAAAACATGCCGCGTGTTACGTCTAGTAACTTAGGTAACGTATTTTGTTCTACAATGTTTTGTGTTTACAGTAATTATAATGTACCAACCTTCAATTCATAGCTTATTGAATGCCTTGACAAATGAACTTCATCCAAGTTACCATGTTCTTTTCTGTAATTTAATGTAAAACCAGTGATTGGTGCCCCACCATCATTTTCTATTTTCCAGTTCAATAGTATGCTTATACTTGTAGCACTTGTCACATGTAGCAAGGGTGCACTTGGGGGCACCTGTACTATTAATTTGTATGTTATTCTGTCGGAACCCTGATTGTTGTCGACTTGACATGTGTAGTTACTCATATCATTAGGTTGTAAATTTGAGATTATTAATTCACCGGTATTCAAGATTTGCTGATTTGGACTAGATCCACTTCTAAGAATTACCTCACCATGTAACCATTCTCGTTTTGGAGCACCCACCGCTTCACATCCAAGCGCTACTGAAGTCTTCCAAGCTCTCACAACGGTAACACCAAATGAAACGATTCTTGCTGGAACTAAATTAATATATTAGGTTATATTAAATGAAAAAAAGTATAAAATTATTTAGATACAACTTCCCTCGCCCCTAAAGTACAGACGAACAAATACAGATTCCTCTAAAATTAGAAGATCATATTTTGCGAATTACTATTTTTTTTTAAAGTTAACACCTAAAAAATAGAATAAAGGTATGTGTGAACTGTTAAAGTAGGGAAAGGGTGTCCTAGTTGTCACACAAAACAATCAATCTTTCTAATTAGAGAACATGGAAAAAATTGCTGCTTTAATCTTATGAATTATACTTGGTAATTCAGTTTTCATTAATTAAATAAATCACTAAGTAAATCAACTTACAACATGAAGTTATTTCAATTTTAAAAACGCAGGTCAAGTCAGGTTAGCTCGAGGAGTTTATAACTGCCCATGAGCTGGGCGTTGTTTTCATCCCCGAAACCTGGCTTCAGCCGCAATACAGAGATCCCAAGATACCAGGATTCACGATGCACTGAACGAACCGCCGAGATAAATTAGCAGGAGGAACCGCCATCTACTTAAGAAATGAGATCAAACACTCTGCTTATGTTCCAGATTTTTAGAAGCTACGGCGGTGACTGCTGAAACTCCAAGAAGGCCTCTGCGCCTAATTGCATGTTAAAAACACCACCGACACGCTTCAGATTGTCGACATCGCAGACCTTACTAACTTCGACGAGGCCCTCATCGCAGCTGGAGAATTTAACACCAAACACTCGGACTGGCACAGCAAGCAGAACAACGCGAACAGAGGAGCCGACCTATTACCACGAGAATCGTATCCGAGCTTCCATCGATGCAGCCTCAATTCGACGTTCTCAGCAGACGTTCAAACGGCCCGCGTTACCACAGCGTATCGTGAACTTTATCAGGGAAAAGAATAGACCGAGACGACCGCACGTCGATCCAGAGAACGAGTCGACCAGGTTGTAGCAAACCGCCTCCAATGCAAAGTCCGGAAAGCACTTTTCGATCTCAGGAACGAACAGTAGAAACAAACACTCCAACCTTTTAACATCGAGGACCAATTGATGTGGAAAATAGCCAAAGCGGTGAAAAGCAACAGAAGGTCACTACCACGGATTCACGGGAAAAAATCAATCTTTTTCCCAAAATCATCGCCCCATCCTTTCATTTCGTAATATAGAACACGTATACGACGCGCGCCGGGATAGGATGTCGAGTTCGAGCTACGAGCTAACGTTTTTCAGTACCGACACCCGACACCGACACCAGTCTGAACTGAGTCTGAGGGAGAGAGAGTGATAAACTGGTGTGAATGTGTAGGTAAGCGAAGCCAAATACGTCGGTGGTCACCAATGTAGGTAAGCAAAGAAAAAATGTTTGCTGCTCCGGTGCGGAATCGGACCGCACATATTCGGTTTGCCAGGTCTTCACCACTTGGTTACAGAGCCGCTGATCTTTACTTCGCTTACCCAGCTATTACTGTGCCGCCACAAATGTAATCATGACGCACTGGATCGCTGGGACTCAATAACGGATAATAATCACTAAATTTAATCGTCACTTATTCCATAAATAAAATTAACGAAAACGTAATTAGTAAAACAACTAATTAAATGAGAACGGGAATTAACAGCAGAGTGCAAGGAAGCAACGTAATTTTATTCTTAAATAAACGAAGTGTAGTCCGTAACTGCAATGAATTCCCATCCCCTACGAGCCGTACCGAGTTTGACGTAGCCTAATTTTCACGATACCATTATTGTGACAATGGATAGTAGTAAAAGTGAACCACCAGAAACTGAAAAGTCACGACAAATTTAAGTAAGTAATGTTGATTTTTTTTGTAGCTATATATCCGTAAATACTTTGATTAGAGAATTTGGTAATAAGCTTTCTAACATAGAAATTAACAAATAATGTCCTTTATATGAATACCTAAAAATAAACTATTTAATAAAATGTGTTCGTTTGACTATTCCAACGACTAAATTAGGTACAACAATTAATACCGTTTTCACACGCTTTATTGCTCATTTAAGAACTGATATTTATATCACTTATTTTAGTCACCATAGGCCACTAATAACTGTATTAAATGATAGGGATAAACATACCGAAGGCGATAACGCTATGATTGAACAGTAATTTGTATTTTAAATCGAATAAGTTATAAATACTGCTCTAGCATTTGTAAAGAATTACTTGTTTCTTTAGTTGATATTATTATTATTATTATTGATTATAATATTTCTATATGATAAATAAATAAGAAAGTATATTTTATAATAAACAACAATTGATAATATATGAATATTTACTTTCATTAACCCAATCATCATTATTAATCATCATTTTGTCAAAGAATACAAATGCAACATATTTTTGGTTTTTATTATTTTTTAAGAGAAAATTAATGACTTCGCCGCGTATGCGTGTTTAATTTACATAAATTGACAGCGCAGAGTTAAAAGCCGGAAAACACCTATTAACAAAAAGTAAGTTTACAATAATAAAATCGAAGTTATTACATTTTTAAATAAGTATAAATGATGATTTAAATGAATAAATAATAATAATCAAATTCTTCCATAATAACTTGCAACCTGGTTACGAAACCGAAACTTACTAGTCTGGAATAGTGATACCGTGCTTTGCCTGGAATATTCATTTGCTGCGACCATCATACGTTTCAGTGGATGAGTTTTAGCCAAATTCGTTGTTGAAGCAGAAAGCAGAATTCTGAAAATGTTTTTACTACTAGTAGTAGTGGGTACCAAGAATGATAATCTGGCTAATAAAAAAGAATTGTCTATACTATTGCACCTACAACAATCATCTGAGATTGCACCTACGAATGTTAAATGTTCGCATATTAAAAACTGTGATGTCTTGGGATTAAAACACTGGTATCCCCTATACAGTGCATATTTTTTAAAATTCCCATGTTAAAATTTAGACCCATTGTTAACTTTTGTTAGGGTGGAAACCCGGAGATGATTTTTGCCGTGAAAATAGCTTTAGGGTTCTACTTTAACTTCTACTATCACTTTTCGCAGTAACTTGTTACTTTACGCTTTAAAAAATAAAAATTATTTTGATTAAAAAAATTTGGTACATCATAAAAGGTTTTGACTTATCATGTTAACTTGTCATTTTTAACAGCACAATGTTAATTTTATCATTGAATACCTTTAGTGCAGTTTTAGAAGAAACAGAATGATGAAATTCAAACATAAATGAAGAAAATAGAAGATAATTTCACTAAAATTGCGTTTTTGATATCCACGATCGAGAAAACATATTTATAAATCTGTCATAAAGTTTTTAAATTGTGCTCTTGCCGGGTATGGGACGATGTAGGGATGCTGCAGCAAAATTTTGCGCAATTTCACTATTGTCGATACGCCTTTAATATATCCATCCGTGACCATTTCCACCTTTTCTTTAATTGTGCACTGCGGAATTTAAAGCATCATTTTTAATAAAATCGAAAAAAGATTACCCAAATTACATTCAGTAAAAATTTCAACGCTGAATCTTTACTCAAACATAAGTCACCATGGGGTATAAAATTTAACATGGGAATCCCTATGGCCACTTTTAAAAAAGATCCACTGTATACAGTTTATTCAACTCAACCATTATTCTATACAAAACTGTTGCGGCGTCCATCCATGCCTGACCGCCATACGAGAGAGAGCGAGAGAAGTTTCTCTCTTTCCCCCAACACAAGTTCTACTCCCCACTTAACCTACACATCACTAACAATTAACATTGTGAGTTGCATACCTCACACACCTTCCCCCTTAAACAAACCGTTGAGGTTGCCTAAGCTGGCTTCTCCTCTTCAGGGTCCTTGCAGGCGAATCCGGTACAGGCACTTCAAAAATCCTTTCCGATAATATAGTACCAGACTCCTCTGCAATTTCCTGAGTTACATTCGTTTGTTCTAAATCGCTATTTTCATTGTCCTCTGTGATTTGCTTATCAACTACTGGAACATTTGGGGTTGAAGTTTCGATATGTGGCCTAACTAGCAAAAATTCAGTGTGAAATTTTCTAATTTGATCTGCATGCCGTTTGCACCTCTTTCCAGTATCGCAGACTTCAATTAAATATAGACAAGATCTTATCTGCTTAATTATGCTACCCTTACTTCAACTTTGCCTGTTACTAAAGTACTTAAACAATACAATTTCTTAACCATAGAATTTAACTTTAGCTTTACCCTGATAATACCTTTTTTGTCTAGCTTGCACATTTCTAACTCTACTCATCACTTTATCGCTACCTTTATCTGGCGGTAAAAGCACTTGAAATATCGTTCGCAAATTTCTATTAGACATCAAAAATGCGGAACTTACCCCAGTGGTACTGTGCGGTACATTTCTATAGTCAAACAGAAACCGACTCTTCAAGGCATTTTTGACAGTTTGCACAGAATTCTCAGCTGCTCCATTTGAAGAAGGGTGGTAAGGACTAATGGTGAGATATTTGATGTAGTTTATGTCTAAAAATTCAGTGAACTCTGCCGAAATAAACGCTCGCCCGTTGTTAGATACGATTAACCTACATAACCCAAACCTAGCGAATAAATGTCTTAGACACTTAATTGTAGTTTTGCATTTATTGAAGCTATTTCAAACACTTCCAACCATTTTGTACGTGAATCTAATGCTAATAAAAAATATTTACCCTTGATTGGACCACAGAAATCTAAATGTAACCTACCCCACGGTAGTTTTGGATATTCCCAAGAATTTAATTCTACTTTAGGCGGATTATTAAAATGTAAAGAACACGCTTCACATGCTTTAGTTAATGACTCAATACTCTTATCTAAATTAGGCCACCAGAGAAAATGTCGTGCAAAATTCTTCATTTTGACCGTTTCCAGAATCTATGCAAATCATTTAACAATTTATTTCTTAATACTGTTGTAACAACGATTGCATGGTTATACGCAATCATCTGAAATTGTCAATTCCCATCTTTTACAAAAACAGTTTTTTAA